TCCTTGTGACACCCTGTTAGATACCTGAAAACTGCTATCATGTCCTTGCAGAGGTTTGCCTGTTTATTGTAAGTGCTAGGGCAGGGGTCAGCAACCTGTGGCTCATGAGCCAGATATGGCTCTCTAGGTTCAAGTGGGCAGTCCAAATGGATTTTTTTTTTCAAAGAATCAGTGTTTGCAGCCAAACTCTGATGTTTCTTGGAAGGGCAACAAAATCATTATAGACATATATTTGGGTTGTTATGGGCTTGCTTTACAGATCTCTGACCTGCCAATATCTCCCAGCTATGCAACTGTATGTGTTGTGCCACTCAGCAAACTCTTCTCACATGACTTGCTTTTTCATGTTCTTTTTCTAACTATTTTAGGATCCAGGTGTACAACTCTCACTCACGGGAGGAGTCCTTACTGATTTCAGTGTGAACATTCCTGTGAGTAATGATTATTCATTTAAATAAAGGCTATTGGGTTAAAGCCTTAATTTTCCCAATCCTGTTAGTGTTTTTTCAGTCTTTATTCTTGCTGTATCTTTTTATTTCTCAACTCTTTTATTTTTTCTTTTTCCAGACGCACTAGTACTTACTATTTTACTGTAACTAAAGACAAAACTACTGTTTTCCATCCTATCCAGAAGAGGGGGCCCTTTCATTTCCTTACAATGTATTTGTAATACAATACTGGTCTCTGTGTTGTAAATACTATCATTTTGATAGTGGAGATCAGAGGATGCAATATGACAAATGCAGAGGAAAAGCATTCCACCCAAATGTATCATCCATTTGTGTTTCCTATGATCCCTGGGGTTAAGTGACATATCTTTTCCATCCTCCAATTTCTCATTTTTTGCCTTTGTTCTCTCCGTTATGTGCCTCACACTATAGGTTTTCTTAGTCTTTAAAGGGTATTTAAAAACTGAAGAGGAACTTAAGTGATGATCATTAAATAGGCACTTCGACCCACCAATTATCATACATTGATTGGTATCTGAGCTAGCAGTGTTATCCTTTAGAATAAAATAGACCTGTGGTAATAGTTGGTCCATGTTGATATGTAATGCTATGCTCAGATGATGTGGCAGCGCAGGGTGTCAGATGCCATCAGGTGGTCAAAGGACAGTTACACTGAACATGTCGCTGGACATCAATAGGGATAAGCAGGATTGCAAACAAGAATGCAATCAGGGAAGTAGCCCTTATGCTTCTCTGACAGATTGTGTTCTCCAACAGACAGCCTATCCCAAATACTGACAGACTGAGGGACAATTTCCACTAGGGAGGGATGTGACAGTGTAAACATGTACATGGTTAAATGATGAGTCTGGGCTTATTGGTTAATCCTCACAATTAAACGCAGACCCCACCTGTGGCTTAAAGCTAGCTCCCCGTATGTACTGGCTCCCAGGGAGCCACCTGCCTTCCTCCTCCCCATGCTGCTGCCTTTGATACAGAGGAGCAGTGCATGGGGGCAGACAGGAGCTGGTACGCAAAGAGAGCTGGCTCCCCATGCATACCAGCTCCCATGGGGCCACATACCGCCTGCCTACACTGCTGCTTCTCTAGATGCCACCTACTCCTCTCCTGTGCTGCTGCCTCTGCAGAAGACTTCACAAGAAATCACTCAGCTGTCCGTGCAGCTGCAAGAAAGGGATAACAATGCAGTAGCCTGATGGTGATACGGCGACTGTAAAGAATATGGCAGTTTTCATTAGGGATGTTAAAATGAGTTTATTTAGGTAAACATATAACTGCTGAAAAATTCCCACCCCTGCATGTAAACGTGTAACCACTGAATTTTTTTATAGTGGTTAAATGTTTACCAAAATAAACACATTTTAGCATCCCTAATCTCCACTCATTTAGGGTATGTCTACACTACAGCGCTATTTCGAATTAACTTAATTCAAAATAGTTAATTCGAATTAAGCTAATTCAAAATAACACATCTAAACACAAAATCTAATTCAAAATAGCGTTTTGCTATTTCGAAATAGCGTGTCCACATTGATTGAACGTTGGATCGCATTGAAGGGCAACTGAAACTGGTTCCAGCAGGACATCAGGTCAGTAGTTACTTTGTGTGGCTGCTGTCTGAGGCTCGTGCTTAAAGGGACCCCCCTGGACAGATGGTTCTCAACTTTCCCGCTTGCTTGCCTACCTCACTGAGGGACAGCAAAGCGTTTTCCTCTCTGTCTGCTTTGGTCACTCTCATTTGGGACACCACAGCACTCGACACCATAGAGCCAGTGCTGCCCCTGGGCATTCTGATGCTCATGTTGAATGTGTTACTGTAATCCTGGCAGCAATTGCTGGAGGCTGCCTGGCACCATCTGCTGCAATCCATTCCCCAGGCCCTTTCCCTGCCCCCCTGGGGGCCATGGAGGAGTAGCACCTCGATGCCAGTGTGCCCCGCTGCATCTGGTATCGGGACACCAACAGCAGGACGCCAGCGTCCCCCGCTGCATCTGGCGTCTGGACATCAGCAGCGACTGGTGGGACCACATCGTCCTGGAGCTCTGGGGAGACCAACCGTGGACCAACTTCAGGATGAAGAAGGACACATTCCTGGAGCTCTGCGAGTGGCTCGTCCCAGCTCTGCGGCAATAGGACACATGCATGAGGCCCGCCATCCCCCTCCACAAGCGAGTGGCCATCACCCTCTGGAAGCTCTCCACGCTGGATAGCTACCGATCCGTGGGGAACCAGTTTGGCGTGGGGAGATCCACCGTCGGAGCGGTGCTCATGCAGGTACAACAGTCACCGGCCACTGGGCCAGGAGGGGGGGCTGCAAGGAGGACATGGGCTGCCCCAGGGAAAACAGGGGGTGGGAGGTGGTGTAAGTGCCCTCCCTGGGAGGGTTCGGTCTGTCCAAACTCCGCTACAGACCACCCGCGGTGGCCAGGATTGCAGCGGGGGTTGCTCCTGGGAGTGGGGCTTGGGGCAGTGGTGGGGAACAAACACTCCCAGCCATCTGGGCACCCCAGTGACCCTCGGTTTTGTGTCTCTCTCTGCAGGTGGTCAAGGCCATCAATGGGGTGCTGCTCCGCAGAGTCGTCCACCTCACCAACCAGGACACGGTCATCCAGGGGTTCAGCGCCCTGGGCTTCCCCAACTGCAGGAGGGCATCGACGGGACGCACATCCCCTATCCATGCCCCGGAACACCAAGCCTCCCTCTCCATCAACCACAAGGGGTACTTCTCCGTGATCCTGCAGGCCGTGTCTGACCACCAGAGCCAGTTCATGGACATCAGTGTGGGCTGGTCCGGCAAGGCACACGATGCCCGGGTCTACCGCAATTCCTCCGTGTGCCAGAGGCTGCATGCCAGGACTTTCTTCCCCGACCGCAACATCAGGGTCAGGGACGTGGACATGCCAGTGTGCCTGCTGGGGTATGCGGCCTACCCCCTACAGCCCTAGGTGATGAAGCCCTCAACCCCTCCCGCCAGGCCTTCAATGCCAGGCTCAACAGTGCCCGCATTGTGGTTGAGGGGCCTTCGGCCAGCTGAAGGCCCGATTTAGATGCCTCTTCACCCAACTCGACCTCTCCGAGCACAATATTCTGCACGTGGTGGCAGCATGTTGTGTGCTCTACAATTTATGTGAGTGGAAGGAGGAGGCTTTCCTGCCAGCCTGGATGGCAGAGGATGCCCGCCTGGCTGGCCAGTACACACAGCCCTGCATGGCTGCCAGGCGGGAGGCCCTTCAGGGGGCTGTCCACATCCGGGAATCTCTGAGGGACAGCTTCAATGCAGTCCCAAACCTCAATGAGGTCCACGATCTCCGCACTAGACCAGGCGGGCGCCTGCCTTTTGCGGCCCCTGGCAGGCTCCTGGGAGCTGCCAGCCTTGTGCTGGGGAGCAGTGGAGGGCTGGGTGGCAGCGGGTTGCTATGCTAGGTGCATGGTCTTCTGGCTGTGTGCTGGCAGGCTTGCAACTGGCACAGGCACTGTGGCCAGAATCTGCTCCTTTAAGGGCTCTGGGACTGAGGGGGAGCAGATGAGTTTTCCTGATTGTGCCCAGAGTGGTCACCAGGGCTCCCTGGGAAGGGCTGGAGGCCCCCTATTTCAAATTAAGTGTCTACACAGCACGTAATTTGAAATAGCTATTTTGAATTTGGCATTACTCCTCATAGAATGAGGTTTACCAAATTCAAAATAAGCGTCCATGTATAGACGCTATTGAAGTTAATTCGAAATAACGGCTGTTATTTCGAATTAATTTTGCAGTGTAGACGTACCCTAACATATTTGATTTTCAGAACTAACTCTCTGTAAAACTTCACGAGTAATATAAACAAACACTTATTCACTACTATCTAAACTATACCACTAAGCTTGCACACCTAAATCTTGGTCAATGCTGATTATGCCCTGTATGTATCATGTAACTTCTTAAAGCAAAACTTTTAGTCTCAGATAATCCAAGCATGACACCCAGATATACAAATCCTCTTTTCTTAATTTGTGTACCGTCTCAGTTTTTATTTCAAACATTACCTTTAATAAAAATATTTTGAACCTGTTAATTTGTATAGAAACATTTTCTTAATTAAGATTATATTCTGATGCATGAGAAACTAATAAATTTGGATCATCTTTGTTTTCATTCAGGTGGTGTGTTATTTGAACCTGTATCACTAGGAAGCATGCAGGCTAGTGATACATAATAGTAAAGTATTTAATTTTGCATTGATTGTAAAACACATTCTCTCATGGTCTTCAGAGGTATGAAAATGTATACTAATTGTGACTCTGCCTCACAGAACTTATTTAAAATAAAAGAAGCTGTAATCTAATTAATTACCAAGGAAACTCTTTTGGAGGAAAGTTTATTTCAAAGATAATGCTATTTCTAACAAAAAAACCCATATTATTCAAAGATAAACTATCATTTTAAAAATCTCATTAAGTTATCTGCGGTATCTCTTTCCAGATAGTCAGAGGCACGTGATTCTCTGATTGGTCTGTGCCAGTTCTAAAAACAATGGTGAGGTCACAATGATCTACTTTGGAATGTGACACTGATGACTGTAAGAGGAAACTGTGAGGCAGATCCAGGATAATGACTGGAGACACAGGGCAGTTTTCCCTATGAATTCCATATTTTTTCTCTTTTTATCTCTGCTTATTTTTGCAGGGACTACCAAAAAGAAAATTTCATCTTCTAAAGGTATGGTCTCATCAATACCTCTATATGGTGAGAATGGTTAAGATAGTCCATTGTTAGTTCTAGGAACAGACTAAATGTTTTTTCTCTGAAATTGTTAGAAGGGTTTTTGTTTGTTCTTGATTAAACTACTATATGGGTTTTTTTTCTCCAGAAATAATCTGTTCCCCTCCATAGCGCTTTTAGCAGTGTATTCTTGAAAATGTATTAACTAAATCCTACTTAGTCATCCCTTGGTGTGCTGTAGGGTGGAAAGGTAGTGAACTGAGCTTCTCCAACATCCCATTTTTGCATCTCTGCAGAACCTAGTTAGAATGCTGCTGCTAAAGCTCAGTCATGGGTAGAGTTCTGCATGGATACAAAATTTGTATCCACCTCTGTATCCACACAAATGAGCTGTGGATCTCCGCACTGACATCTGCAGATGCAAAATGGATATCCACAAATTTGCAGGGCTCTACATACATTTTTTTTATGTGCATCCACATTCATATCTGCAAAGATGAGCCAGATAAATCTGTGTTGACATGGATGTGGATACCTGCAGATATAATGCAGATACCAGTGGATTTCCAGGGCTCTAATCATGGGGTAAGGAAGGGCACATTAGTTTGCCCAGTGGAAATCCACGACTATAAAAGGTCTGCTGAATGGATACATATGGTAGAAGGCCTGTCCCTTGTCTTCCCTGCTCTCCACTCCAATACTCTTCTAATGACAACAAAATCTGGTCTTTAGGAACTTTGGATCTGCCATATCAAATGAACATTGGTCAGTACTCTGCTGGGGTGATGCCAATCCCTGTTGCTTCAGAGGAAGATGAATACATTCTTATTGCACATAGTCTGCCATCATAGGCACATTTCATTAGGGTGTGTACCCAAAGAATTTTTTTAAATGTACTTTGACCCCCCCCCATTAGCCACACCCCTGACCCCTGTTAACCACGCCTCTGGCCCCCATTAGACACGCCTATGGAGGTAACCCTCTCCAGGCAAGATGGGTACATGACCAAAAGTAACAAGTGTTGTGTGACCCCCCCCAAGGACTTTTCCCACCATCCTCCTACCAATAGGGATGAGTTTGGCCCCCACCCAACCTCCCTCCCCACATGCAACTATCCTGCAATTGCATTAACCCAATGTGTGTGACATTAATGCGAGGGTGGAGAGGCTGGGGGGGAGGAGGGGGAAGTGTTCCCTCTGAGAGTTTCCTCCCATGAGCAGAATGAATTTTGTGTTGTGCACCAGTACTGAGTTCATGTGGCTTGTTTGGATGTGCCATTGTGGCACCCAAGTTATTAATGAAGTATCTACCTTTCCACTCTGCTGCCATGTCTCCTCCCCTTGCTCATTCAACTCCCCTGGTGCCTGCTGCCCCCCGAACTCCTCACCCTCCTCTGCTGTCCTGACTCCTGCCCTTCTCACTGCCCTCAGCCTTCCTGAGACCTGTAAACCTTTACCTTTTCTCTCTGCTGCCATGTCTCCTCTCCTTACTCCATCATCTCCCCTGGTGCCTGCTGCCCCCCAACTCCTCACCCTCCTCTGCTGTCCTGACTCCTGCCCTTCTCACTGCTGTCAGCCTTCCTGCGACCTGCCCCCCTCCACCAACCCTTCTCTCCCCCCTGTGCCCACTCCTCCAGTAGCCCCTCTCTGATCATGTGAGCTACCCCTCTTCTAACACCTGCCCTGCCTCTCTCCTCTGGTGCTGGTCCCTCCCCTGCAGGTGTCTGCCCTTCTGCTTCACCCCCAGAATCTCCTGGCACCTGCACCTTCCCTTACCCCTACACCCTCCTGGTGCCTCCCCCTTCACTCACTGCCCCTGCACCCTTTGCCTTTTTCCCTGATGCCCTTCCCCTCACCAGCCTCTGCCCCCATTCTCCTCATGCCCCTGTGCCCTCACACGACTTGCTCCACCCCCCCCTTCCTCATGCCCCCCCCTTCTTTCAAGCCTTCTCCCAGCCCCTCTCCCTCCCCCCTCTAGCCTCCACTGCCCTTACTCTCTCCTCTCCCAGCATCACCCTGTCCCCCCTCCCACTGACACCTCTCTCCTCCTGCCCTTTTCCTCATTGTCTTCACTTGGTCCCCTGGCATTTGTCTCTCCTGCACCCTGTCCCTTGGTGCCTTCCCCTTTCTTCTCCTGCCCCTCCCCCCCAGCACACGCCCCT